AACTAGAGACAAATGAATAAGATGTCTTTTTTGTTTTTGCAGCTGGTCGGTGTGGGGATCTGAACCCTTGACCTTGATATTACAAGGTGGTGCTCTAACCAACTGAGTTACCTAGCCAGCCCTTCTTTTTTCTTTTAACTGTCCAGTCCAGGGGTGGGTAAACTTCCACAAAGCGTCAGAGAGTCAATATGTTCAGCTTTGCAGGCCAGATGGGCTCTGTGGCAAGGACTTGATCCTGTCCTTGTAGTGTGAAAGCAACCACAGATGATATATAAACAAATGGGCAGGGCAACATTCCAATAAAACTTTATTTATGCACACACAAATGAATTTCCTACAACTTTCTTCTTCTTTTGCTTTTCTGCACCCATTTCAAAATGAAAAAGTCTTTCTGTCTTGAGCGCTGTGAAGAGACAGGCAGCGGGCCAGGTTTGGGCAGCAGTTTGCTGACCCCTGGTCTAATCCAAACCAATCCACTGGTCAAAAAGAAAGCCACCAAGCCATACACTGAATTAGGTCTTATTGAAAAATGTGAACTTTGAATTTCCAATTTGCTACAGACCCTTTTGCCCAGTTTCTCATCCAGGAATACTTGCTATTATCAAACTCTTATTTCCAGGAACTCTCAAGTGCCAGAGAGGGGCTTGAAAGAGATCAAGTGCTTTTCTCTGCATAATAACGAAAATCAAGGAAATGGTGAAAACAAACCCCCAAGTAGAATTTACATCTTTTTCTTTCTTTTTTTTTTTTTTTTTTGTCTTTTTGTCTTTTTTCGTGACCGGAAACGGACCGCAACCCTCAGTGTCGCGCCCGTACTGGACCGGGACCGGCAACGGGATCGCAACCCTCGGTGTTGCCCCCGCTCTTCGCTCAGCCAGTGAGCCGCCGGTCTGCACGTGGGATCCGAACCCTCGGCGGGAGCGCCACTGCACTTCCCAAGCGGCGCACTGTAGCAGTGCGCCACCAGGCCGGCCCAACATCTTCTTCTTTTAATAACATGCATTTTGCTTTATACACAAACAGCATACATCTTTCATTAACACAGGAAAACATCAGGAGGCTTATCAAATATTTCATAAACTCAAATTTGGTTAAGAAGGAGATAATGAAGCAGTTGAAATGAAAAGAAAATGCCTCACTAATGACAGCCTCACTGGCTTTTCCAATCTAACCACTTCAGAGGAGAGCCGAGCTCATTATCATGCTGGGCTTCTGCTCCGAGGAGTCTCAGGGAGCCCAAGAGGGATCCTTCCCCTATCAGAGAAATAAAATTGGGTTTTGGTCTGTCAACCACATTACTTGAAAACGGCTGGTTAGATTTTCACCATTTGAAAAACGTGTTTGCAAATATCTTTCTTAAAATCCAGACCACAAGGAAGTCAAGGGTTTTGATCCCCATACCAGCCAGCCACCAAAAAAAAAATCCAGAACACAAGGAATGCAGATTATTCCACCTGAATGTCTTTGGGAGGAAGGGATACCTTGAGATTCTCCATCATCCCTTAGCTCAGGGTCCGCAAATTTTTGCAGTAAAGTGGCAGAGAGGCAATATTTTGGGTTCTGCAGGCCATACAGTCTCTGTTGCAACCACTCAACTCTGCAGTTGTAGTAGGAAAGCAGCCACAGCAGATACAGGCAATATACATGCAGGGGTGTGGCCAGGTTCCAATAAAACTTTATTTACAAAAGTAGACGGTGGGCTGGGCAGGCCATAGTTTGCCAACCCCTGCTATAGAGCAGCTGGAACTGAAGCACGAAGGGATACCCACACAAAGCAAAGTTGTGTTCCACCTGAAACAGCAAGGGAGGACAACACAAAACACAGAAGGGAGGTTCCAACACGAACCCTAAAGCGAACATTGCCAGGGCAGGAGCTCCATGTGCGGCCTTCTCTGCATTCTCCACGTGCGGCTTCTCGCCTCAGTGACATTCCATGTAACACACTCCAGGACGTGCAGCAGTGGACATTTATTACTTAGATGGTAGTTAAGATCCTTCCGGTCCAAGAAAGCCAGCTGAGGTGAAGTCAACTACTGTCGCTTGCACGGAGAACCAGCTATTTGGGTAGAGCTGAAAACCTCATCCTTATTCACAGGTTAAGCAAACTGAACCAGCCTAACATTAACACTGCTCCCGGCCAGGGCTGATGGGGATCTAGAACCAAATTCTTCAGTTAAAATAAATAAAGACAAGATATTCTGAGCCCAGAGCTCTCAAGGTGGGTTTTTTCAAAAAGTGACCCCAAAAAGCCATTAGGGATGAACACCAAGATGTTCTTCACAGTGTTATTTACAATAGATAAAAAGTAAACACAACTCAACTGCTGGGACTGGTTAAATTAGCCAAGGTACTTCCTTACAACGGCCTACTTGCAGTTATTAAAAATGACATCATATAGAGTGTGACGCTGTAATACCAACGTCAAGGGTTAGGATCCCTGTATCTGCCAGCTACCAAAAAAAATTATTTAAAGATTTTATAGAAGAAAAGCCATATATGCTGATAGGGAAACATGGTCATATTATCAGGTGAGAAAAGCAGGTTGGAAGATACTAAGATAACGTCAAGTAAAGAAAATGTATGCACCACACCCAAACGGTTATGCATGGAGGAGAGACTGGAAGGATGCGTACCCAGGGTGATGCTCTCTGGGGGAAGTGATTATGGGTAATTTTTCTTCCTTCTAGCAAATTTATATTTTACAATTTTTCTACAACAGACGTGAATTGGTAATAAAAACTTTCAAAGTAAAACAAACAAAAGCCATTAGACCCATACTGATGATACCTATGATGGACCCCTCCAGGACACCTACCCAAGGAAATAACTCCATGAGAGAAGCCAACAAAGGTCACAGAGCTGGTGATGACAGCAGCACTTGTAACAGTGAGAACAGTACAAACTCAAATTCAGCAAGAGGGCCAAGGTTAAAGAGAGATGGATGCCACACCATTGTTAAAAATGAGAGCCACGAAGTCTCCCTGGCAACACAGAGAGTACAAAGGAAATGACGTGGATATGAAAGCATCACAGCCTGAAGTGCTTCCCCCACCCCCAGACATATGTCCTACATACGGACATGTATACAGACATGTATATAGACATGCATAAGGAAAACACTGGCCAGAAGATGTGAAGAAGACTCGGAAAGGTTCACCATGCTGGAAATTGTTTCCAGTTTTTAAAAATGCTGTGACTGCTCTTTAATGGTGTGCGTGCAGACTGCACACATAAAGGCAGAAGAGAATAGAGAAAATGTGCACAGGGATGATACCCGCAGGTTCTGAGCACTTGCTCATAAGGCAAAAGGTGCTGCCAGGCCCCGGTCCCCACTTGAGTCCACTCAACCGTATATACACCCCAGGTGGGCGTGACTCAAGGCCCATTTTAGAGATGTGGAGACTGAGGTTTGGAGGGAGGAAGCAATTAACCAGGGTGACCCCAGGAAGGAGCAGAGATAGGAATTGAACCCACATCTAACTGATCCAGAACATGAGCATTTAAATGCCGTGAGACACAAGGCACCCAATATGCAAACTTCGATAACCTTTGGTGCCAATGAAGGTTTTTAAAAAGTTTCCTGAAGAGACACATCTGTGAGATTCAATTTATAAAATGTACAGCAGCCTCTGACAAGCATCCGTAGAAGCCACACTGCTTACGAGAATTCAACAATGAGATAATAGTTCTCCAGAGAAAAACATAACCATTGAAACAAAACCTCAGTGGCAGCTTTCTCTCCTCAGGGCACGATTCAGCCCCATTGTGAACAAACACCTCGCCTCAGTGAAACCTCAGCCCCAGTCTGAATAAGCCAGTGGTTTCCTCGCACCATTCACATTCTTGCAAGGGACCAGCCACGATCCTGGCCTGTCTGTTCTTTGTGACAAGAACACAGGCAGGCCTAAGCAAAGCTCAGCTCAGTAGCTGATCCCTGCTACCTACAAATCTTGGGGTGACAGCCCAGATTTGACAAGGGAATAAATCACAGAAGCCATGAAGTAGGATGACGTTAGCTGAGTACCAGTGAAAGGGGACTTGACCCTGGTCTAGCAAAATCCCACCATTATAACTGCTTCTTCCCATACTTCCAGAAGAAGCCCAGGTCAAAATCATACCTGCCCAATTCTTGTCCATCACGTATCAAGCAAAATCCACAACAGAACATCTACCACCTCCTCTTTTCCAACTTTCTGAGAGCTTCCGAAATGAATCCTAGATGTTTCTCACAGGATAATTCAAAATAACTCAAGCTGGAAGTCGACTTCTTGGTTAAAAAAGATGTATAAACAAAAGGTCCTTTTAGAGGGCCGGCTCATGGCTCATTCGGGAGAGTGTGGTGCTGATAACACCAAGGCCACAGGTTCGGATCCTATATAAGGACGGCCAGTTAGCTCATTGGCTGAGCGTGGTGCTGACAACACCAAGCCAAGGGTTAAGATCCCCTTACCGGTCCTCTTTTTTTTTTTTAAAAAAAGTCCTTTTAGAAATGAGCTTTATTTTCAATGCTACCAAGTTCTAAAAGCCTGCGTATTTACTTTTTCCTCTCTCCAGGTTTACCTACAAGTCAGGATTTCAAAACCACAACAAACAAACAGCTGTGGGATTCGGGCATGGACCACCCACATTTCATTTTGGAAATGAAACAAGGATTCCATTTCCAAGAAGCTTCTAGGGAAAATGCCGTATTTCCTAGATTGAGGCTTATTGTTTTTCTTTCTTTTTTTTTTTTTGTCCTTTTTGAGACTGGCTGCACCGCGCTGAGCCAGTGAGCGCTGTGAGCGCACCGGTCATCCCTATATAGGATCCGAACCCGCGGAGGGAGCGCTGCTGCGCTCCCAGCGCCACACTCTCCCGAGTGCGCCACGGGCTCGGCCCAAGGCTTATTGTTTTTCAACCTTGAAATAGCCTACTTCAAAAGCAGACTCAGAAAGCTAACCTTTCAGAATGTGGTCCCAATATCACTGCATAATAAAACCACTCTCATTCTAGCAACCGTACAATCAATGGCCACCAAAGTTACTTTATTTAACAAAGGGCTTCAAGGCAAAGCAAACTTTCTTCTCACACCCCTGCCAACTGTTCCTTGCCCCTCTTCTGTAGAAACCAATAATATTACTGGACCTATCTCATCCCTGTTGCTAACAGTTTAGTGTTTAAACAGAAAGGTCAGTGTCCCTGTTACCAGTGACCCACTCCTTAAAGTCCTGGAGATGAACTCAGCTGTGCCCAGTTGCTGAGAAGACCCTGTCAGGATTGGGGAGGAATCTGGACACAAGACCACAAACTGGCCATAGAACTGGTAAGACCCAGCAAGTAATACTGAACTTGCTTGTTATTGATAAACACTGTCCAAAACAGAGGCTGTGTCAAGCTTCAGAGCCAACCCTTCTGTTCAGATCCCAGTATAAAAATGATTTTCTTAAATCTGTATGATTCCAACCAAAAGGATGGTTATTAAAAATAAACCAAGAAATATCCAGAAGCAGGTTACTTGTGAAAGGCTGGTAGAGGGATTCCAATACGATGAAATGATATAGACATGTTCTTTTATCTATGGGGAATGCAGTTGTATCACAGCCCCTCGTATAAACCTTCCAGAAACCCCTTAAGTAGACAGCATTACAATTCAGAGACCATGGTGAAAGTATCTTTGCAAACAGTGACGTGGCTGGGAAACCATATACATCTTGGCGAACATTTTTTCACCCACCATGAGCTTGGGCTTTCTGGGAAGTTCACCGGTTTTCTGGTCAAAAACATTCTTGAATTCATCAGGAGTGGAGGAACAGAGACTCAGCAGCATCTGGGACAGCGAGTTCCTGGTTCCGTGTTTGGGGCTCAAGAGCCAAACAGCCTGGGAAAGTCAGAGAGCAGAAATGTCTGTGAGGATGGGAAGTTACTGCTCTAAAAATCCTGTTAGAGGTTATTTTACATGACTGTTATTTAGATTATTTTACATCATTTTCTGATTTTAAGAGTAACTCCTCTGATGCATATGTGAGTATACTTAATACCACCAAAGTATAGACTTAAAAAAGCAACTCTTTTGGGGCCAGCCCGGTGGCGCACTGCTACAGTGCACCGCTTGGGAAGCGCGGCTGCGCTCCCGCCGAGGGTTCGGATCCCCCATACAGACCGGTTCCCGCTCACTGGCTGAGCGAGGCGCGGGAGCAACACCTAGGGTTGCGATCCCGTTGCTGGTCCCCGGTCCGGTACGGGGGCAACACTGAGGGTTGCGATCTGTTGCCGGACACAGAAAAAGACAAAAGACAAAAAAAAAAGCAACTCTTTTAAGAAAGTACTTATACTACTCAACTCACAATGGGGTTATGTCTCGATAAATCCATGGTAAGTTGAAAATATCATTAAGTCAAAAATGCGTTTAATCCCCTAACATGTGCAGAATGCTTACATTAGCCTAGGGTTGGGCAAAACCATCCAACACAAAGCCTATTATAATAAAGTGCTGAACATCTCACATAGTTTATTGAATACCGTACTGAAAATGAAAAGCAGAATGGTCGTGTGTGTACTCAGAGTATGGTTTCTACTGAATGCTTATCATTTTTGCACCATTGTAAAGTTGAAAAATCCTAAATCAAACCATCTACCCGGGCCGGCCTGTGGCTCACTTGGGAGAGTGCGGTGCTGATAACACCAAGGCCCCGGGTTCGGATCCCATATAGGGATAGCCGGTTTGCTCACTGGCTGAGCCCACGTGGTGCTGACAACACCAAGTCAAGGGTTAAGATCCCCTTACCGGTCATCTTTTAAAAAAAAAAAAAAAATCCACCG